TTATAAAAAAAACAAACTTCCATATTAATTGTAAAAAAAAATAAATTAATTACGTATTTCTTTCTTGTTTTTGCTTTCAGCTTTGTTCTTTGTTACCTGGTTTATGTTGTTCGCTTTTCCTTGTTTATAATATTTTTATTGTGTGTGTATATATGTGTGTGGTGTGTTGTGTATGCACACGTGTGTGGTGCCAAAGGAGGATGCCTGGCATCCTTTGCTATCATTCTCCACCTTAGTCCTCTGAAACAGGGTCTTTTGCTAAACCTAGAGTAAGGTTGGCAGCCATCAAACCCCAGGCATCTTCATGTTTTCACCTCCTGTAGTGCTAAGGTTATAGGTGCAAGGCCACACCCAGTTATTTTTTTTTACAGGAGTCCTAGGGATTTGAACTCAGGTCCTCAAGCTTGCACACTAAGTACTCTTACCCAGTGAGTTGCCTCCCCAGACCTTTTTTCTTGTTTTGTCTTTATTTCAGTTTTTAAGTCTCTCTTTCACAATATGTAATTTTTTCCTACTGTTTCGTTCTCGGAGATACTTCAATAGGCATAGAGAAAGAAGGTTATTTGACACTAGAAAGTTTGCTTATCGTACACATTTGGGTTCTCTATGGTTGATAACTGATTATTATAAAAACTATCTCAGACTTATAACCCATTACTGTTCATTTATAAAATAGCAAGGAAATGTAACCACTGGCCCACCATTTTATGAATATGGGAAGTGGACAGATTATCTGTTGTATTGGGTATGGAGAATAGTGTATGTTCAGACCACAAGAATAAAAAAGTCATTTTTACAGTTCTTAGGATAACCTTGTGGAGTGTAGGCATTATGCTTCATAAATATAAGCCTAGCAAAACCATTATAGGTTCTGATGTTCTTTGGAGAGTGAGGTTTTGTTCAGTTTCCCCTTCTCTTATTCTGTGAAATCCTGGGGTTTTGACTTATGTAGTTATTTTGTCTTTCGTTTTGTTATTCTTTTTGAGACAGGGTCTTACTCTGTAACCCAAAACACGTGAACTTGAAATCTTGAGGGAAATGCCATCATGCTCAGCTACATTTAAAAATTCTTTATACCCTTGTCTGTTTCTTGATGTAATTTTTATTTCTATGGATTTTGCAATTGACTTACTAGTTGGATGTACTAATCTCATCTTGATATTTGAAGGATTGTCATCTTGAACTAATTCCCTTTGCTCCTATCTCTCCCCTGACCTCTCTTTTAATTCAGGGAATTAGACCATTCTTTTCTTTGCCAATCAGTTTTTTTTTTTTCAAGTGCATATGTAGCTATTTGCATGAGATTATCTTTTCTTTTTTTTTTTTTCAAATAAAGTGTTTAAAAAAATATACTTCCTCAGTTCCCATGCCTTTTGTTGACCTAGTCATTCATTCTTGTCAGCCATTACTTTCCCTAGATATGTTACTTAGAAAGTTTTCAATCCTACAGGAAAATTGAAATAATTGTAACTAAGTGCAATGAACTTGCCATCTAAATTCCATCACTTTGTCTTTGTTGTTGCATAAATCAGTAGCAGAGACTGGTACATATCAACGCTGTATATTTTAGCGTGTACATCATTAACTGAGTTTAAAATTTGTATAGAGAATTTTTTTCTTTTGAGGAAGAATTTATGTAGAAAAATCTGCACAGATTTTACGTATACCATTGAATAATTTCTCTAGTTCTGTTTCTGTGTAAACTGGTTGCCTTCTGCTAAGGTGACTGAAAAATTCCTAATTCATGTTTTCCTTTATGTTCTTGGAAGTAGACTTCAAATATCATAAAATGCCTTAGAGCCTTTTCATTATATAAATGTTCTTCACAGTAAAATGGTTATAGTCAGAAGTATTTTAATTCTTATGGATCATTCTTTGAGTCTACAGAAGTCTTTAGCTTGCTAGGCTATTACATGAGCATGCTGAAGAAGATAACTGAGGCTAGCTCTGTGTATTAACAGGAGTCTTTAGCTTGCTAGGGTATCACATATGCATGCTGAAGAAGATAACTGAGGCTAGCTCTCTTTGGTTAGAAGCCTAAAACTGTGGCCAGCACAGTGATATCCATGAGCTCAGGTGCTCAAGAGGACGGGCAGCATAGTGAGGACCCATCTCCAGAGAAAGAAAGAAAAGGGCCTGAGAACTCAGCTCATTTATATAGTCCTTGCCTTATCTCGTTTGCAACCCCAGGTTACCACAGTCTAAAATTGTTAACAAAATGAGGAATGGTCTTTTGTCAGTTTTGTAAGTTACATAAGTAAAAGAGGTAATTAAAGATACTTTAAATAGCCAGGTGGTGGTGGCATGCACCTTTAATCCCAGCACTCAGGAGGCAGAGGCAGGCGGATCTCTGTGAGTTTGAAGCCAGCCTGGTCTACAGAGTGAGTTCCAGGACAGCCAGGGCTACACACAGAAACCTTGTCTCCAAAACCAAACCGAAAAGAAATAAAAAGATACTTTGTGGAATGCTTAGTAGTTTATTAAATCTATTGTGACTCATTTGAGCCTTCATAGTGAAAGATTGGAGACTTCTAAGAATGGTCCTCCATACTTTTCAAGAAATAATTTATCAGTTGTTCCTTTTAGAGAGGAAAATTTGTTTGCTTCCATTCAAATATGATTTATCTAGATATATTTATTACAGTGAAGAGATAAGTGGTCCTCAGACATAATTTGTTGTTGTTTTGTTTTTTGAGAAAGGGTCTCACTATGTAGCTCTGTCAGGCCTGGAACTCAGGCTGGCATCAAACTCACAGAAAAATTCATGTGCCTTTGCCCCCTCCCCTTCTGGGGTTAAAGGTGTGTGCCTGGCATCCACCTTTATTGGCAAATGTAAGCCAGTTTGAGACTAGAGAGCTGTCTGCTTTCAGAGGACCCATGTTCAGTGCCCAGACCCATGTGATGGCTCACAGCAGTCTGTTGCTCTAGCTCTGGGAGATCCACTGCTGTCTTCTGGTCTCCTCAGGCACCAGACACACGTACGCATACACCAGACATACATTCAGGCAATTATTCAAATCTTAAAAAAAAAAATAAGAAAAGAAAAGAAAAGAAATGTAAGTAAGCTCTAGGTAATAAGAAGTTCTGTCAGAAAAGATAGGATTGGCATGAATTTTCATTGGGAAAAACATTGTTAGTGGGGTGTTTATGCTTAATTTTCTTGAACCAAGTAAATTCAGGTACATTAAAGTAATGCATTTTTAACATAGCCTGTTCTAATGGAGGCAAACTAACTTGGGGAAAGTGGTGTGTCTTAGTGTAATGAAATGTCTCCAGTTTCTTCTCTTGAAATTAGGAAAAAAGACATTTAGACTTACTGGGTGTTGGGCTAAATGAGCTGTTTCTCAGCAGCCTATCTAGAAAAAGGGCTGTCATGCAGAAATTTTGAGGGTGGGTGTGATAGAAATTGAATCCAGGCCTTGACACAGCTTCTGCAGCTGAACTGGACCCTCTCTCTCATGGCAATCTTCAATTTCAGGTTAGGTTGTCTTCATCATCCTTGATATTAAATTCTAGAAGAAGAGTTTGTCTTTCCTCTGTAAATAGGTGTATTAATAATAACAATTGTAATAGACCCTAGTATATTCTCTTTAAAAGTATAATTTTATTGGCATATATTCATTATACATAGTAATGACGTCATAGGAACATTTCATACATTTATATCTATTACTGTAACTGTGTTCTCTCCCATGCTTTCTGCCCCCATGTTAGCTCCCTTTGTTCCTTTAGACAGTTTTGCTTCTAACTCTCATGAATACACACACACACACACACACACACACACACACACACACACACACACACACTCACACAGATTTTACACACACACACACACACACACATATGTAGGTGGATTTTCCCTTTGGCCGCCAGCTCATGGAGACTTACTATTAATTATGAAAGTTCAGCCTTAGCTTAGGCTTATCCTACTATGTCTTATAACCTAAAGTTAACCTGCTCATATTAATCTGTGTTTTACCATGAGGCTTTTTACCTTTCTTTCATTCTGTATGTCTGACTCCCGGAGTCTCCATGGTGTGTCCTTTGAGCTTCAATTAATCCTCTTTCTCTCTCTGCCTGGAAGTCCACCTATTTCTTCTGCCTAGCTATTGGCCGGTTCAGCTTTTTATTGCATTAATCACAACTATACCTCTTCACAGTGTACAAATACCCCAGAACACATATATATGATTTTATGTACATAGATACATTTTTTTTGTTGTTGTTGTTGTTGTTTTGTTTTTCGAGACAAGGTTCATCTGTAGCTTTGGAGCCCGTCCTGGCACTCGCTCTGTAGACCAGGCTGGCCTCGAACTCACAGAGATCCACCTGTCTCTGCCTCCCGAGTGCTGGGATTAAAGACGTGTGCTACCACCACATGGTTTATAGATACATTCTTAATTGCTTGGCTGCCTGTTGTATCACTATATCTTCAGCACTGGTAGTACCTGGCAACAGCCAGAACTCAGTTATTATTGCATTAACAGTGTTGGTTATAAGTAATGTGGAGTAACATAGCTCCAGTTAGTTGTTCTGTGTATTGTGATTTAATTGGAATTGTTTTTTTAAATTACACTAAAAAGCAAATTTGCCTTTCTGTTACTTGAAAGCTCAATATTAAAATCTTGTCAGTGTATTATAAAACTTCAGGCTGAATGCCTTTTCTGAAATATCTTTCATGATTGGAAATAGATTTTAGAAAAAGCCACATTAATTTTATATTATTAGGTATAATTACAGCTTGATTACAGTTTTCTGAGCTAAGATAAACATATCTCATAGATTGTTGTGAATAGCTTCGTGAAGTTAGCAAGTTGGTAATTGATATACATTTAAATTTTCTAAAATGCACTGAAATAATTTGGTATTGGAAAAAGGTACTCAGTCACTGATTTCTTTGAGGAGAGATGGAATTGCAGTGTCATAATTGAATGTTTAACTAAGTCTTATGATTCCACAAGGGAAGCATCCTAACTTACTGTTTTTGTTTATTTCAGGGCTGAACACAAGTAAACTCATTTTTCAGAGTTAAAGAATTATTTAAAAAAGAAACAAGATGGGGACGCCTGGTTCTGGAAGGAAAAGAACACCCGTGAAAGATCGATTTTCTGCAGAAGATGAAGCTTTGAGTAGCATCGCTAGAGAGGTGTGTGCTGAGGATCACTGGGGATGATGCACACAGATGCTGGGGGGTGGGCATTAGGAGCAGGGAAGATACACACAGATGCTATGCTGGGGGAGGCAGGCATTAAGAGTACAGAAGATGCTCACAGATGCTGGGGGGCATTAGGAGCACAGAGGATGCACACAGAAGCTGGGGACGGGCATTAGGACACTTGTTTGTCAGATAGCTGTGAGGTATTTGCTAGGAACAAGAATTATGGTTAGCCTCTCACATACTAATAAATTTGTCCTGGTAAAATGTTCTTAGATTTGGATCCCTTCTGAATTTGATTCTCTGAGAATTCTTCTGAGAGTAATTTTTCATTATAATATGTGGGTTCTGTATGTTTCAGGTGCATCACTTAGTATACTTAGAATTTTGGAGTTCTGAGAATTGTGGTATGGCTCACTGGGCCCTATAGCTCCCAGAGCTTCTGGGTGAATGTTGACAGAAACTGCAATCTGAGGTTGTTTTTTGAAACATTGCAGTGGACATTTATTTATTTGTTTTTCTGTGGTTGTTTTTGAGAGATGGTCTCATGTACCCCAGGCTGGCCTTGAACTCCCTGTATAACCAAGGGTGACTTTGAACTTCTAGTACTCTTGTCTTCACCTCCCAGTGCTGGGATTACAAACATGTGTCACCATATCTGGTTTATGTGGTGCTGGAGCCAGAGCCCAGGGCTTTGCTAGGCAAGCAGCACCAACTGAGCTGGATCCTGAGCCTTGCTGGAGTTTTTTGTGCTTAATTCTTTTGAATACCAGCAGAGCTTCTAGGTCACTTTTGTTTCTGTTTGTTGATAAATCCAGGCGGGGTGGGGGTGGAGAGGATAGGGGGATGGGAAGAGATGCTGCTTTTGGATTCTTCGAAGCATTTCCTGTTTTATGTGGGCATTAGGATAGCTCTCAGCTGGGGTTTTTTCCTGAGGCGCCAACTGTGTTTCAGATTCTGACTGTAGCTGCAGACTTTACCTTAGTAAAGGGCTCATTCAGGGTTAGCATTGTTTCCTTTGGACTTACCGTACGTAGTCTTTGTTTCCTCTTGAAAGCTAGGTAGTGTTTGAATTATGAATAATAACATTTAATTGTGATTTTATTTGTATGAAATACCAGGCTAGGCAAATCCATAGAAGTTGATGGATTTGTGATACCAGAGCTAGAAGCATTAGGGGGTGACTTATCAGCTGTATGGGTTTCTGTGCGTGCGTGCGTGTGTGTGTGTGTGTGTGTGTGTGTGTGTGTGTGTGTGTGTGTGTGTGTGTGTGTGTTAACAGAGCCTCCTGGAATTTGGTAATGTTAGACCCCCGAAAACTCAAGTATCCGGGGTCTCAGGCCAGGTTCGCGGTCACCCCAATCACCAGGCGGATTCGAGAGCTTGCTGCAAACTGCACGAGGCTTTATTGTAATTTAACGAACTA